CGTCGGCGACCACGAGAGCCGAGAGTCAACGTCGGCGACACGAGAGCCGAGAGCCAGCGTCGGCGGTCTGAGAGGCAGCGTCGGCGGTCCGAGAGTCAACGTCGGCGACACGAGAGCCGAGAGCCAGCGTCGGCGGTCTGAGAGGCAGCGTCGGCGGTCCGAGAGTCAAGGTCGGCGATACGAGAGCCGAGAGTCAACGTCGGCGGTCCGAGAGTCAACGTCGGCGGTCCGAGAGCCAAGGTCGGCGATACGAGAGCCGAGAGTCAACGTCGACGATACGAGAGCCGAGAGTCAACGTCTGCGGTCCGAGGGTTACCATCGACGGGCATCAATAGCGGACCACGGAACTTCTTGAGATAGCGAGCGTACTGCGTCGATTTAGTCTCATTGTGTAAGGTAAGGGAAACCATTCAGAGCAAACGTTCACAGTGAACGGCCAACCAACGCGTTAACAAAATGGCGGATGAACAAAACCTCGTCGGGCTAAAGAGGCGACGCGCGACAATACAAGGTTCGTGTACGCGCATTAAGACGTTCGTGGAATCGGTCGAGTCCATTTCTCCCTCGATAAAGGCTCAACTCGAAGAGCGGCAAGTCAGGTTAGGGGGGTTTTGGTCCGATTACCAAGACGTACAAGCGCAAATTGAATTGCTTGACGAGGCGGAGGCAAGTCATCGCGCAGGCTTCGAAGAGGCCTATTACAAACTGTCCGCGAGAGTCAGGGAGTTACTGGCACCTCCGGTACCGGTTCCGGAGGTGGTGGCGCGGTCTCCATCGAGCGAGGCGGCTTCAACAAGGCTGCTCGCGCACGTGAGATTGCCCAAGCTGGACCTTCCCAGTTTTTCAGGGGAATACGACGAGTGGTTCCCTTTCCGCGACACGTTTAATTCCATTCTACATACGAACGAATCGCTTACCGATATACAAAGGCTGCAATATTTGAAAGGTTGTCTGAGAGGTGACGCTAGCAAGCTCATTAGCTCGTTAGAGATTTCGGCTGTAAATTACGAGGTGGCCTGGAACCTCTTAAAATCAAGATACGACAACAAGCTCGTCATTGTACAAAGTCACGTGAGGGCCATCATGGAGTTGCCTTCCATGAATAAAGAAAATTCACTCGATTTGCGTCAAATTGCAGACGGCGCATCGAGACATGTTAATGCCCTTAAGGCTTTGGGGCGTCCAACTTCACAGTGGGACGACTTACTCGTATTTATATTGAGCAATAAATTAGATACGCGAACCGAACGTGAATGGCAAGCTTCCTTAAGCAAATCCGAGTTGCCAACGCTTAAGCAGTTTATTGACTTCATCACTCAGCAATGTCAAACGTTGGAAGCCACCGCTAAAAACAGGGCCCCAGTTCAAAAGGGGGGCTCGCGCTCACAAGTAGTCGGGGGCCGGCAGGCCGTCGGCGCCGCAACAGTTAAAACAAGGTGCACATTTTGTCGCGGGGAGCATTCAATTTACTATTGTAAAGAATTTTTGGCTCTTCCCATTCCCAAAAGAATTGCTGAGGTTCGTAAAAACAAAACATGCATCAATTGTTTGCGATCCACGAGTCATGTCGCGAGTAAATGTACTTCGGGTAGTTGCAGGCTTTGCAAATCAAAACATAATACGCTATTACATGTAGCTGCAACCACGTCTGGTGATCAAACGGGGGAAGCGGTTCAAGCCGCGGAGGTGGCTAACGTCACAGCGACGACTAGTTTAGCTACGCGAAATTGTCAGAACGTTATGCTGTCCACAGCCCTTGTTCATGCTTACGATATCAACGGGACGCGCATTCCTTGTCGAGCACTATTGGATTCGGGATCACAGGCGAATTTCATCTCCAGGGGATACGCGGATCGCCTCGGTGTAGAATCAAGAGTGTCAAATATTTCAATAAGCGGGGTGGGCGGTACGGTTACTAAAGCCACGCAAATCGCTCAGGTGCGCATACAGTCGCGTACAGGCCCCTTCAGCGCAAAAATTAATTGCATCGTGACGGATCAAGTCACCGACAGGCTACCAGCGGTCACTTTGAAACGGAAGGATTTCGACATTCCGCGGAACATTACATTAGCCGATCCAACATTTAACATAGCATCGGACATAGATATGCTGATAGGCGCGGAACTATTTTGGTCGGTAATAAGCGTTGGGCAAATCGAAGCCACCGAGGGCTGCCCGACGTTGCAAAAAACAAAATTGGGATGGATCCTGGCAGGGCGATTCGCCAATCCATCCTCTAAGCCTTATAAGGTTCACGTCTGCCACGCGAAGGTTAGCAACTCGCAATTACACGATTCATTAGCCCGTTTCTGGCGGCTTGAAAATATTGAGGGTCAAGGCATCTATACTAGCGACGAATTGCGTTGTGAGAAGGAGTTTCTGCAGAGCGTAACGCGTAACCCGCAGGGCCGATACGTGGTTAGGCTTCCTTTCAAGGATCACGCGATCAACAACCTCGGCGAAACAAAGGACATCGCCCTGCGACGTTTACATAGTCTCGAGAATCGCTTGGCGCGCAATGCCACTCTCAAGTTGCAATATTCGCGTTTTTTGCACGAGTATTTGGCCCTTGGCCATATGAAGCAAATTATAAACACCCCAGAGGGGGAAGGAGACGCGTGCTACCTCCCCCACCATTGTGTTTTCAAAACACCATCGCAACCGACTAGCATACGGGTAGTTTTTGACGCGTCAGCCAAAAGTAGCACCGGTATTTCGCTAAATGACGTGCTCATGACAGGTCCGGTGGTGCAACAGGATTTGATAGCAATTTTATTACGATTTAGAATGTTTCGAATAGTTTTCGCCGCCGATATCATAAAGATGTATCGGCAAATATTAATAGATCCCGCGCAAAGGCGATACCAGCGAATTCTCTGGCGGGATGATCCATCACAGGAGGTTAGGACATATGAGCTATCCACAATAACGTACGGAACTTCGCCAGCCTCTTATCTGGCAACAAGATGCCTCAAACTACTCGCCGAATCGAGTCGCGACAAATATCCATTAGGCTCGATATGCGTGCAACGCGATTTTTACGTGGACGACTTATTAACGGGGGCAGATACCGTCGGGGAGGCGAAGAAAGCGCGAGACGAAGCTATCAGCCTGTTGCGGACAGGTTCGTTTGAACTCAGCAAGTGGGCCTCAAACGCCCCAGAGTTATTAAAAGATATACGCGATCTAGAAAGCAATGCGGTTAAAATCAATGATTTTACTGGTAATTCGCGTATTCTGGGTATGCTTTGGAACCAGTTCTCCGATACATTTCTTTTTTCAAGCATGCCAAACGAGAGCACCCAGCCCGTTTCCAAACGCGTAATATTGACGGAGGTCTCGCGTTTATTTGATCCCTTGGGTTTACTCGGTCCGGCGGTGGTGGTTGCGAAGCTCATACTGCAGGACTTATGGCAATTGGAAATTCATTGGGACGAGTCAATACCACCTGACATCCTGTCTCGGTGGGCAAAATTTAGATCGCAGCTGCTCGATTTAAACAAGATAAAGATTCCGCGGTGCGTAAGACGCAACGGGGATCCACAACATGCACAAATACATGGATTTTGTGACGCGAGCCAACGGGCATTTGGGGCATGCGTTTATATCCGTACGCCCGACGTGGGCAATAAGTTTCAGGTTGTGCTTTTGTGCTCAAAGTCGCGCGTGGCACCGCTCAAAGCGGTTACGTTGCCACGCCTTGAGCTATCCGCGGCGCTGTTATTGGCGCAATTGATACACAAAATCAAAGACTCGGTTGAATCGGCAAACATGAAAATATTTTTGTGGTCTGATTCTACTATCACGCTGAATTGGATCAACTCGCCGTCGAGAAAATGGGCGGTGTTTGTAGCAAATAGAGTGGGGGAAATTCAGCGTCTCACAGATTCACGGTCCTGGCGGCACGTTTCTTCGGCCAACAACCCGGCCGATGCCTTATCGCGAGGATGTGATCCGCGTGAACTCGTGGATTCATCCAGCTGGTGGCACGGACCAGCATTTCTAACGACGCCGGAAGGCGATTGGCCCAGTAGCG